AAAAAAAAAAAAAAAAAAAAAAAAAAAAAAAAAAAAAAAAAAAAAAAAAAAAAAAAAAAAAAAGTATTGACCGAGTGTGGTGGCTCATGCATGTAATCTCAGCCGTTTGGGAAGCTGAGGCAGGAGGATCTTTTAAGCCCATGGGTTCAAGACCAGCCTGGGCAACATAGTGAAAACCCCGTCTCTACAAAAATAAATAAATAAATAACTGGGCGTGGTGGCATGCTTGTAGTCCCAGCTATTCCTGAGGCTGAGGTCAGAGGATCACCTGGCCAACAAGGTAAAACCCCGTCTCTACTAAAAATACAATAATTAGCTGAGCATGGTGGTTTTCACCTGTAGCCCCAGCTATTCTCCTGAGGCAGGAGAATCACCTGAATACGGGAGATGGAGGATGCAATGAGCTGAGATCGCACCACTGCACTCCAGCCTGGGCAACAGAGTGAGACTCACTCTCAAAAAAAAGAAAAAGTAAAATAAATAAGTATATTTTTTAAAGGTGTGAAACTGTAGTCTCTGGGACTTGGTTTTTTAGATCAGCACCATGTGTCTTAGCTTCGCCCATGCTGTGGCTGGTAGCTGTGGTACATTTTCTTTCAGAGGTTTATCATGTTCTGTTCTGTGACGATAACACCCAGCCACTCTCCCATCAAGGGGAAGTTGGACCGTTTCTGTGTTTACTAACAGCACTGGTATGAGCATTCTCAGGTGTGCCTCCAGGAACACTGCAAGGCTTCCCCTTAGATATAACGGGAGGTAGATTTGCCAGAGCGTAAGTATGCCAGTGCGCCTCTATACCAGCGGTCCCCAACCTTTTGGGTACCAGGGACTGGTTTCGTGGAAGACAATTTTTCCACAGATTCAGGGATACAGTGGGGAATGGTTTCAGGATGAAACTGTTCAACCTCTGATCATCAGGCATTAGATTCTCATAAGGAGAGGGCGACCTAGATTCCTCGCAGGCACAGTTCACAATGGCGTTCACCGTCTTATGAGAATCTAACGCCGCGGCTGATCTGACAGGAGGCAGAGCTCAGGTGATAATGTTTCCTCCCCAGCCAGTCCATGGCCTGGGGATTGGGGACCCTTGCTCTATACAAAGACAAATGCCAAACGGTTTTTCCAAAGCACTTGAACTAATTACACTCTTACCAGCAGTGTTGAGAGTTGCTGTTGATCCACACCCTCACCAACATTTAGCTGCGTCAGACGTCATCATGTTTCCCGATCACGTGTGTGGAAGGTGATGTCTCCTGTGGTCTTGACTTCCACCTGCCTGATCGCCAGTGAGCCTGAGTATCTCATCATGTTTTTTGGCAACACCACACAGCCACTCTCCTATCAAGGTGAAGCTGGGCTGTTTCTGTGATTACTAACAGTGCTGTTAGCCTGGGTTCTGCCCCTCACTCGCTACAGCCCCACACAAGCCTCTTGGCCTCTCTGAGGCTCTGTATTCTCACCTGTCAAATGGGGGTTGTCATGGGTGTTACTTCAAGGGCTGATGAGAAAAGAGTGAGCGACCAGGCTCGCTGCCTGGCGTGACAAGCAATGCATCAATGTAGGCTGCATGAGTCACCTGTCCACGGTGGCCCCAGCAGCTCTCTAGCAGGGCTTGACGAAAACTAGGCCCTTCAGAGTGCAAGCAAACTCCTGGTCTGGTGCCTAGCACACTATAGGTGTGGCAGACTGTGTCCAAGAATGTTTTGATGGGAGCCTGCCTGGATGTCAGAAGATCAGAGTGTGCTGGAAGGTCCCAGCCTTCCCAGCTTCCCATAGCCCCTAAGGCCCCAGCAGACATAACCACCACCAGGGATCAGGACTGACCACGTCTGCCTTCTTCCCTCCTCCCAGCACCTGTGGGCAACGATGACATCCCTGCCATCTGAGAGATGGAGCATTAGGTAATTTTTCAACTTTCTGTTCACTAGTATTTTTACCTTATTACTTTAAACTTTATTCTTATGCTTTAAATGTATCTCTTCTTTTCTAAACAGTGTAAGTTCCCCTCCCCACATTCCAAACCTAGTCTGAAATTCTTTGCCTTTTAACTGAAGCATATAGTCCATTTATATTTAATGTAAATGTATATGTAAATGTAAATATAATGTATACCTTGTAAATGTTTAGAATTAAATCTATTACTTTATCTTACCTGCTTATTCATTCTATCCTTTTTCTCTTTTTTCTGGACTTAAAAACTATCTGCATACATTTATCATTTAATTTCATCCTTTAGCTTGTTTGAAATGACATACTGTTTCTATTCCTTTAGTGCAGGGGTTAGAGACATTTTTCTATAAAGGGACAGATAATATATATTTTAGGGTTTGTGGGCCACAGTTAGTGGGTTTTTTTAGGGTCTGTGGGCCACAGACAGATTTTTTATAGCTATTTAAAAATCTGGAAACAATTCTTAGTTTTCAGGCCATATAAAAACAGGCTGCAAGCTGTATTTAACCCATGGGCCATAGTGTGTAACCTCTTCTAGCTTTCACCCTAGAAATTATAACATACACATTTAACCCCTCAAAAACTGCTCTGTTTCCTTTTATGGCTGGAAGATCCTAGAACCTCTGAGCTAAGAGGCTATTCCCCGGTCTTCTCATGGCCTTGCAGGGAGGGGCTGTGTGGACTCAGGTCTGTCCCCAAAGCAAGTCCTCTGCTTTAGTGATGAAGGAAGCACTCACCCCTCAGCCCTGCTGAGACAGGCTCGCCCTTCTGCCCCTTTCCCTCCCCACTCACCACCAGCCTCCAACCTGAATGAAGTTCCAGATTCTTCCTCTGCTTCTCCCTTACCTCTTTCAGGTCTGTGGTTGTCCTGAGGCAGCATTCATGTGATTTTAGATGGCACAGGAGTTCATTTTTCATTTTACATCATCACTAGTCCTTTGCTGATTATGGCATGTGCCCTTGGTCATTTAATGGGATATTATATTTTCTTTTCAAAGTGATCATTTTGAATTACATGCAAAAAGACCAGTTGATCTAGAAGAAAACATTAAGTAAATATCTGGCTGATTACTAGACTTGTTAAAAATCACTGGAACAGAACTTGCCTGCCCGAATCTGGGGAGGCCTGGTTTGGATTATTCCATTTCTTCTTAACTGAACCAGCCCAGGGAGTCGGCCTCAATAGAGAAGTCCTGTCCCTTAGGGGAAGTTGGCCTTCCTCCTCAACCAACAGGCTCATGCTGGAGTGGGTTATTTATTCCTCTGAAAATGTTATCAATGTACTACACACGTGTGGTTTCAGATAATCGTGATTGCCTGGAGTGGAAGTGGAGGGGAGGTTGATGGGAAAGGGCCCCAGAGAAACCTTCTGGAAAGATGGACACGTTGTATATTTTGGTTGGTATGTTTGGCCCAAGAGTGTACATGTTTGCCAAGTCATCAGTCACTTAAAATGTGCAAATTTTATCGTAGGTCAGTAAAATTGATTTGAAAAAAACATCGACACCAAAGCCACAAATATCCATTTATGTTGGGAGCCACTCATATTCACCTGGTTCTGAGTCCTGAGCTGCGAGGTGAGCTCTGTGGTCTTCTGTACTGTGGTCTTCTGTACCGTGGTCTTCTGTACCGTGGCTCATGCTCGCTCTCATTCAGCCGTCATTTCAGCTGCTCCCAGAGTCAACACTTACGAGTTCTGCCATGTGCCGATCACAAGAAGAATGCCCAAAATGACAGAGGGACGCTTTTGACAAAGGGCAAGAACAAGTCAGGCAGGAAGGGGTGACTTAATAAATGGTGTTGGGACAATTGGTTCTCCAACCAGATGCAAATAAAATCGGATCCTAATAGGGCGACTGTAGTTAATAGAATCTATAGTTTATTTCAAAATAGCTGGAAGAGGAGATTTGGAAGGTTCCCAATGCAAAAAAATAATAGATGCTTGAGGTGAGGATTATCCTAACTAACGTAATTTAATCATTGTACATTGTGTGCATGAATCAAAATATCACATGTGCCCTATAAGTATGCATGACTATTATGTATCAATTTTTTAAAAGGCTCACCCAGCAAAAATTAGACCCCTACCTCACAACATGTTCGTCATACAGACACTCCAGATAAATTAAATGTTAAACAAAACTATCAGGTATTAAGAAAATATAGGAGAGTATTTTTTAAATAAATTCCAATCAGAAAAGCCCTTTTAAAGCAAGACATGAAAGCCAGACGTCATAAAGGAAGACTACATCTAACTATGTAAAAATGCAAAACCTTTTTCCGATCAATGTGGTGATGTCAAAAAAAAATGCAAAACTTTTCTATGACCAATGACACCACGAATTTAGCTAGAAACATGCAGAAGACCTTGGGAAAATATTTGGCGCATATGCTTTAAAGAATTAAGGTTTCTAATATGCAAAGAGGTCCTATGAATCAGCAAGAATATGGCAAAAAGGCCAATTAACAATGTGCAAAGCAGGTGCCCTGCACTGCCCAGACGAGCGAACAATACAGTCAGATTGCTAAAGGGGACCCCCAAGAAACCAAAAGGCGAGATGTCTGCTTCTGCCTTCTTTATGCAGATGTGCAGAGCAGAACATCAGGAAAACCCAGAGGTGCTGGTCAATTTCACAGAAATTTCCAAGAAGTGGGCTGAGAGGCGGAAGACAATGTGTGGAAAACAGAAGTCTAAGGCTGATGAAATGACCAAGGTGGATAAAGTGCTCTATGATTGGGAAACAAAAGATTACAGACCAGCTGAGGGAGGCAAGAAGGACCCTAAACCCAAAAAGGCCACAGTCTGGATTCTTCCTGTTCTGTTCAGAATTCTGCCCCAAGGACAAATCCACCACCCCGGCATCTCTATCGGAGATGTGGCAAAAAAGCTGAGTGCGATGGGGAATAACTTGAGTGACAGTGCAAGGCAGGCTGACATCACTAAGGCAGAGAACCGAAGAATCATAAGAAGAGTGTTGCTGACTCTCAGTCTAAAAGAAGGTTAGTGGCACAAAAGTTAAAATTGCCTGGAAAAAGGTAGACGAGGAAGAGGAGGAGGAGGATGAATGAACAAAACTGTTTATCCATCTCCTTGTCAATATCTTAGAGCAGAGGAGTGTCAGAATTCAGGGGGTCCTCAGTCCCCAGTCCATGGAGCAGTACTCACCTGTGGCCTGTTAGAAACCCGGCCTCACAACAGGAGGTGAGGGCCTTACCCTCAGGTATTACCACCTGAGCCCCGCCTCCTGTCTGATCAGCAGTGGCATTAGGTTCTCACAGGCACCTGAACCCTGTTGTAAACTGCAGGTGAGAGGGATCTACGTTGAGTGCTCTTTAGGAGAATCTAATGCCTGATGATCTGAGGTGGAAAACTTTCATCCCAAAACCATCCCCCATGGAAAATTTTTCTTCCATGAAACTGGTCCCTAGTGTCAAAAAGGTTGGGCACTGCTGCCCTAACTGACTCATCTCTTATTTGAGAACTGTCTGTTGCCCTCATTAGTTTTAATTACAAAATTTGATCACGGTCATATTGTAGTCTCTCAGAGTCCTCTAGAAATTGTCAGTGGTTTATGTAAAGTGATCATCGGTGTCCAGAACACCCTGAAACTGTATCAAATTTGTACATAATTCCAAACTTTTTTTTTCAGATAGGGTCTGGCTCTGTCGCCCAGGCTGGAGTGCAGTTGTGTGATCTCGGCTCACTGCAGCCTCTGCCTCCTGGGCTCAAGCGAGTCTCCCACCTCAGCCTCTCCAGCAGCTGGGACTACAGGTGCACGCCAGCACTCATGGCTCATTTTTCATTTTTTGTTTCACCATGTGGCCTAGGCTGGTCTTGAACTCCTGGGCTCAAACCATTTGCTGTCCGCTGAACCCGGCCTCCCCAAGTGCTGGGATTCCAGGTGTGAGCCACCATGCCTGGCCCCCAAATATTTTAAAATGAAAAGGCACTCTCATAGTCTCACTCTGTGCACTTTGCTGTTGGTGACAGGGCATTTAAAGATGTTTCTGGGCTGGGTGTGGTGGCTCATGTCTGTAATCCCAGCAGTTTGGGAGGTCTAGGCAGGTGGATCGCCTGAGATCAGGAGTTTGAGACCAACTTGGCCAGCATGGCAAAACCCTGTCTCTACTAAAAATACAAAAAACAGCCCGACATCCTGGCGCATGTCTTGTAGTCCTGGCTACTTGGGAGGCTGAGGCTGAGAATCTGGAGCCCGGGAGGCAGAGGTTGCAGTGAGCGAAGATTGTACCACTGTACTCCAGACTGGGTAACAGTGAGGTTCTATCTAAAAAAAAAAAAAAAAAAAAAAGGAAAACATGTTTCTGGCATTTTTATAATTTGTAAGATTGTGTTAACTCTGTGGTTATTGGCTAGAAAGCCTGAGTTATCAACTGTATGTGTCTATAATTTGTAAAAAGAGCAAAACAACGGAGACCAGCTCTTGATGGTTCTTTTTTTTTTTTTTTGAGATGGAGTTTCGCTCTTGTCACCCAGGCTAGAGTGCAATGGCGTAATCTCGGCTCACCGCCACTTCCACCTCCTGGGTCCAGGCAATTCTCCTGCCTCAGCCTCCTGAGTAGCTGGGATTACAGGCACGCGCCACCATGCCCAGCTAATTTTTTGTAGTTTTAGTAGAGACGGGGTTTCACCATGTTGGCCAGGATGATCTCGATCTCTTGACCTCGTGATCCACCCGCCTCGGCCTCCGAAAGTGCTGGGATTACAGGCGTGAGCCACTGCGCCCGGCCCTCTTGATGGTTCTTAATAATTCAACGCTCCTGAATTGAGGCTGTGGGAAGGCGCCTTTTGGAGGGCATGCACCGTGAGGCTGGACAGGTTGACTGTGCAGTGGGCATTCATTTAGCTTCGTGGTCTTGTTTCTGTAAATGGTGACAGCTTTCTGCTGCCATTCTTAGCTGTGGACAAAGGTGGGGGATCAGCTGGCATGAGAAGTGTTTAGTTTTTGTTTGTTTTTTTAGTTAAGTGTGGTTGTTTTTAAACAAACTGTAGAACTCTTCATTGTCAGTAAAGCAAAGAGCCACTGCATCAGTGAAAGTTCAGGAACTTTCTGTTCTTAAACATGATTTGCAGTGTTTTTTTTTTTTTTGGTTTTTTCTTTGTATGTTTAGAATGCTGAAATGTTTTTGAAGTTTAAACAGGATTACTTTTTTTCTTAAAGTTGGGTAATGGATATAAACATTTGTTTCACAAGAGAATAAATAACAATGATGATGAGGTTATGAAAAGATGCTTGGTTCCACTCAGAATTACAGTATGCACGCTAAAACAATTTTTTTGCCAATTTGGAGAGATCACCTATCTCCAGACTGGCAAAAGTTAAAACACATTGGAATGGATATGGTGGGAGTCTGAATTGGTACTTTTTTTTTGAGACATGCCTGTAGTCCCAGCTACTCGAGAGACTGAGGCAGGAGAATCCCTTGAAACTGGGAGGCAGAGGTTGCAGTGAGCCAAGATTGTGCCATTGCACTCTAGCCTGGGCAACAAGAGCGAAACTCCCGTCTAAAAAAAAACACATGTTAACCCATTAGTTATTCCCTTCCTACCGTAGAGGACAAGAATTTAGCTCTCATGGCCACCACCCCCGGCCCCATCGCTCGTGTTTCTCCTCCCACCCTCCCAGCAGCACCATTTCAATAGGCAGTGTTTGTTTCTTTTTTTTCTTAACAACTTGGTTTCCCCAGAGTTAATAATTGTTCTTTTTTTTAATCTGTGTGTTTTCTATGTCTGTATAACTCAGAGATAGGACACCCTGAAACACACAAGGTTTCCCTCCAGGCTGGGCCGCGCCTGGCCTTGGAGCTGCCTGTTAAACCTTCAAGGAAAGGATGGGAGATGCGGTTCCTAGGGCAGCGGGAGGCGATCAGGCCCCACTCTGGTCCTCGAGTGTCCTCCCGGTGTCCTCTCAGTTCTCACAGCTCCTCAGTGTGTCCTCACAGCCACCCTCAAAATCCCTTGGATGGGGTCACCCAAGAAGACGTGTGTGCACCAGGGCCACCCCAGCCATGCCCTCTATTGCCCTCCTTAGGGCCTTTGCCCATCACCTCCATCTACCTAATGGAGCACCCCTCATCCTCCATCCACTGACACCTACTCAAATACCACCTCCTCCATAAAGCCTTCCTTGATTTCTCTTTCCAACCAAGCAGTTTCTCTCCCAGCTTGAATCTCTCGTGGTCTCTCTCCTTGCACGGAACTGAGTGCAGTGGTTCCCTGGCTCTGCTGCCGCTGGGGCACAGTCTGTGGGGAGTGCAGTAGGATTTATGCAGACCTGAGGTGACCCAGGGGTGTCATCCATTAAGAGAAATGTAGGAAAATTAGTTGTCAGCTGGGTCTCTGCCCTCCCCTGTTTTGTGCAGGCTCCTGCAAGACCAACGGAGCTCCCCTGGGAGCCTGTGCCCCGGTGTGTGGGGGACAGACGTAGACACCGCCACATGCATGGGCCTGCCAGGGCACTCAGACTGTGGAGGACAGAGAGGACTCCCTGGGGGCCCACCTTAGAGGGGGTCAGCTGTAGATGGGTGATCGGAACACCTGCTGAGGCCTGGGGACCGGCGAGAAGAGGGAGAGGGGAGCGCTTCCCACAGGAAGGGAGCTGAGAGGAGGGAGCTGGGGTGAGTCCCAGCAGGAGGTCAGGCCACGAGGCCTCAGCTAGGGGTTTGGATTAAGAAGGGAGAAAACGGCTGTGCTGTGGGTGAAGGGGCAGGCGTGGGGACCCCTGTCCTACAGTGTCCCCTGCCCTCCTGGCCTCCCCTCAGGGACCATCCTCGCCCCTTCTGGAGGCTGGGTGGTTTCCTAGGAGCCTCCACCCCCTCCTTGCCAGTCACTCATCCCAGCTCCCTCCATATACACGCCAGTGAAGGGACAGGATGGCCACATCCTGGAGCCCCCTGGGTCCCACCCACAGGCAGACCTAAGGTTGAGCTGGGGGAGAGAGAGGAGGTAGGCCCAGGCTTGCACCCAGGTCCTCTGGAACCCCCATGCTACTGAATCACTGCCACCTCACCCACACTGCTGCTTCCACCCCCCAATACAGATGCTGCCCCGAGCCCCGCCCTTCCTGCCAGGCAGTTGTTATATACAATGAGTTCTAAATTTCTCTTCAAAGAATCAGTATGTCCGTATGTTCAGTTCTTTGTCCTCCACTTTAAAGTTTAACTTCCTCGTAGCTTCAGTAAACAACTTTGTCCATCAGCTGTAATCAGTAGTTCACATTTGTTCCCCCACCACCTGCTCCGTCCTGACTCATCCCAGTCACCTGCTTTGACCTGAGGTATCCCGGTCACCTGCTCTGACCTGAGTCACCTTTAGTTACCTATAACTGTTTTTCCCACCAAACCACTCACCCCGCCACTCTAGCCTATGTTCCTGCTCTCTTTAAAATAGCCAATCAAAATTATTACCCAATAAAGAAATGGCACAGCAGTAGGGGCTAACTGTGTCAAGAATCAGAACTCCTTCCCCTCCCTTGTCCAGGTGTGTGCTCACCATTGCTCCGTCTGTGAGGTGCACCCTTCTATAGAGGTGAATTGCCTTGCTGAGAGAAGTATATTCAAGGGCTACTTCTTTTGCCGCACTGAAAATTTACGTTAAACATCCTTCTGGCTGGACCCAGTCATCTCCTTTTGCGTCTTTTCCAGACGTGGCCACAGCAAAGGAGGCAGCAAAGCCCAGCCCTGCCATGGATGTGCAGTTCCCGGTGCCCATCCCACGCAAGCCGTGAAGAGGCCCCAGCAGGCCGAGCTGGTGGACGACGATGCCATGTCACAGATCCGCAAAGGCCATGATACCATGTGTGTGGTGCTCACCAGCCGCCACAAGAACCTGGACACTGTGCGGGCTGTGTGGACCACGAGCGACATCAAGGCAAGCACCCACCCTTGCCCAGGGCCTCGCCTCACCCCTGCCCCTGCCTGCCCGGAGAGGCCACCCATGGGGGACAGTGTGAGATATGCCATCCCCGCCATGACACCATCTGTCTCTCCCATCACGGTCACCACAGGCTGCCATCTCTTCAGCACCTGTTGACAGGCCTGGCCTCACACTGAGCGTGTCAGGTGCAGCCCCATCAGCACACCGACACTCATGTTCGTGCCCCCACCCTCACCCTCGGGGTCACACTGCGCCCCACTGCCCCACCCCCTGATGGTGCTCTGTTTGCACAGACGTCAGTGGACTCTGCTGTGGCCATCAACGACCTGTCAGTGGTAGTGGACCTCCTGAACATCGTCAACCAGAAAGCGTAAGTGACTGCCGAGGGGGAGGGGCGGAGGGGTGGAGCAGGGCTGACGGCAACATGTCCTGGCCTCTCCTAGCTCCCTATGGAAGCTGGACCTGTGCACCACGGTCCTGCCACAGATCGAGAAGCTTCTGCAGAGCAAGTATGAGAGGTGCGTGTGGGGAAGTCACACCTGCCTTGAGGAGGGGGAGGGAAGAGGCAAGAAGCCTCCTCCAGGACCATGGCAAGGGCCCCCAAGGGCTTGGGTGTTCCTGTGAACCGGCTGTGAAGCTTTGCTGCCCCCTCAACAGTCCAGAGGTGGGAGTGGAAAAAGGCGTGTCTGTGTGTGTGTGTGTGTGTGTTTGTGTGTCTGTGTGTGTGTGTTTTTCTGCCTCTCTCCTGTGTTCCTTGCTGTTTCTCTGTCTGTGGCCCTGGGTCTGTCTGTGACCATCCATCTGCCCTTGAAGCTACGTCCAGACGGGCTGCACCTCCCTGAAGCTGATCCTGCAGCGGTTTCTGCCCCTCATCACGGACAGGCTGGCGGCCCCGCCCTCCGTGGGTGTGGATATCAGCAGGGAGGAGAGGTGAGGTCCAGGCAGTGGCTGTGTGGGGGGCCGGGGTGCCACAGCAGGTGAGGGACAAAGGCCTGGAGGCCCGGGCCCCTCTTACTGACAGTCCTGCTGGGACAGTGTCTAGAGGAGGCGCTGGTCTGGGGCCGTGGCTCAGGGCGTGGTGGGCATAGCCAGAGCTGGGTTCCTCCCTGGCCTGGCTGTGTCCCACGATCCCTGGCAGGGCTGTGTGGTTCGGCTCTGGGCCTCCGCCTTCCCCTGGGAGGAAGGGCTGGAGCAGTTAGGACAGCAAAGGCCCTGGGGTGGGGGGTGGTGGCAGTGCCACCTGGCCCTCAGGCCCTGCCCTCTCTACAGGCTGCACAAGTGCCGGCTCTGCCACAAGCAGCTCAAGAGCATCAGCGGCCTGGTCAAGAGCAAGTCGGGCCTGAGTGGCCACCACGGCAGCACCTTCCGCGAGCTGCACCTGCTCATGGCCAGTCTGGACTGAGGAGTGGTGGGCGGGGCGCCCGGCAGCCCACAGGGCCTGGCCTCAGCCCCCACTCCTGTTCCTTCTGCGCCCACCGGCCCGTGAGCCCCTGCCTGGCCCCTGCTGCTGCCCTGTGGCCGTCCTGGAGGTGGTGACGCTGGTCCCTGGCCACCTCTACAGCCCCAAACTCTGAGACAACTCTCTCCAGCAGCAGCTGCCCAGCTTGGCCCAACTGTTGCTTCTTGGGGCAGTGAACTGAGCTCTGGGGCTGCTGCTGTAATTTATAAGGCAAATTTTATTAAATTTGTAGCTATTCCCAGGTTTCCACGTGGGGGATGTTTTCCGCTGGCCACAAGGCTCCCCCAGGCCCAGGAGTGCCTGCCCCTCCTCGAGACCACGCCCCCTCCAAGCCCTTGGGCGGGGGCTCCGGGCCGTGTGGCCAGCAGGGGGCAGCAGAGAGCCGGGCCTGTGGCACAGGGCCAGTTCAGGCTGGGAAGGAAGGGTGGTGGCAACCACCCTTCCACCACTGGGTGGTGAGGTGAGGGGTGGGCCCCACCAGCCCGTCCCTCCCCACCTCAGCCACACTCAAGCTGTCTGTGGACACTGCCAGGCTTGCCCAGAGCCCCTTCCCTGTCCCCAAGGACACCTCCAGGGGCAGGACTGGAAGGACAGCGGCTCCTTCCCCTGAGCAGGGCTCTGATCAGCTGTCATTCCCAGGCAGAGCTCCCAGCACTGGCTGGTGGGAAAGGGCCCCTGATCCGTGGTCACTACGACAGGTGGGCCCCCTCCTGCTCCCAAGGCAAGTGACTGGGTGCAGCCCTGCCCCGGGGTGGTCAGGGTCATCTGGGCACTGGAGGAAGGTGGTGTGGACCTCTGGCTGGTTCACTGAAGAGGGAAAGGCCAGGGCAGCAGGCTGAGGCAGGAGAAGCGGGCTGAGGCATGAACCTGGGAGGCGGAGGTTGCAGTGAGCCCAGATTGTGCCCCTGCTCTCCAGCTTGGGGAACAGAGCAAGACTCCATCTCAAAAAAAAAAAAAAAAAAAAAAAAAAAAAAAAAAAAAAAAAAAAAAAAAAAAAAAAAAAAAAAAAAAAAAAAAAAAAAAAGGTCCCAGGCCAGGTTTGGTGGCTCAAACCTGTAATTCCAGGACTTTGGGCCACCAAGACAGAGGGATCCCTTGAGGCCAGGAGTTTGAGACAAGCTAGGACAACATGGTGAAACTCTGTCACTATAAAAAATAAAATAATTAGCCGGGTGTGGTGGCATGTGCTTGTAGTCCCAGCTATTTGGAAGGCTGAGGCAGGAGGATCACTTGAGCCCTGGAAGTGAAGGCTGCAATGAGCTGTGATCATACCAGTGTACTCCAGCCTGGGCAACACAGTAAGACTGTCTCAAAAAAAGAAAAAAAGATGAATCAAGATACGTGAAGGAAAGAATAACCAAAGAGAGCCTAGAGGACTACAGGTGCACACCACTATGCCTCGCGATTTTCAAAAAAAAATTTTTTTTTAGAAATGAAGCCTCTCTGTATTGCCCAAGCTGGTCATGAACTCCTGTGCTCAAGTGATCCTCCTTCCTCAGTCTCCCAAAGTGTTGGGATTACAGGTGTGAGCCACCATGCCCAGCCTTCATTCATCTTTTTAATTTCAACCTTTCCATGTCCTTTTACTTCAGCTGTTTTTTGTGGACAGCATACACCTGGGTTTTGTTTTTGCATTCAATCTTAATATCTCTTGCTTTTAACTGGTCCATTTAGTCCGTTTATATTTATTGTAATCATGGATATATTTGGGTATGTTTCTATTATATTACTTTTGGATTTCTATTAGTTCCACTTTTTCTGTTTCTTTTACTTTGAGTTTGATTGTTTTACCTATCCCACTTTTTTCTCTCTACTGGAATAAAATGTCTACATTCCAGTTTTTGGTGTTTTTTGTTTTCCTTTAGTTTTTGCCCTTGAAGTTGCTTTCTTTTGAGCTAAAGGCAATTAAACCTTGAAGTTTTGCCATGTGTATTTAATTAATAACATCTCACATTAAACAATATGTTAACACCCTCCCTACCCCTCCTCACAAACGCTAGCTAGCACTTTAGGACACCATAGCTCCAGTCTCACTGTTCCTGATTTATACACTATTATTCTCCATCATTTCAGATTCATTCTTAACATTACAAATAAAATTATTATTTTATACAGATGATTTTTGAATAGGCTTTAGCTACTCTTACTTTTTAAAAATTTATCTATTTTTGAGACAGGGTCTCACTCTGTCACCCAGGCTGGAGTGCAGTGGCACAGTCACAGCTCCTTGCAGCCTCAACCTCCCTGGGCTTAGGTAATCCTCCCATCTCAGCCTCCCAAGTAGCTTGTACTACAGGTGTACACCACTATGCCCAGCTAATTTTTGTATTTTTAGTAGAGACGGGTTTTACCATGTTTCCCAGACAGGTCTCGAACTCCTGGGCTCACGCTTTCCTCCCACCTCAGTGCCCCAAAGTGCTGGGATTACGGGTGTGAGCCACTGTGCCCAGACTTTTACCATTTTCTGAGCTCACCATTGCTTCTTCTTGCATCTTAGGCTGACCTTCTGGTCATTTTCCTGCTTGAAGTGCACACTTTGGGAGTTTCTTTGGATCATTCTCAGCTTTTATTTACCTGTAAATGTTGAGGAAAGGGCTTCCCCCCAACACACACACACACACACACACCAGGAGTGTTGGGTGACCATCAGGTGATGGTCAGGTGGTTAACTGTTTCTGTAAAGTAATAATTGGTCACAGCCAGTGCTGGGGGAAAGGCAGGCTCCTAATAGAAAACACCTGCAGCCGATCAGCAGCTTCCCAGTAAGATCTCAGGGTCAGGGTGGGAGGAAGCAAGGCAAGATCCTGGAAGTATGCCAAGGTATCTGACCCAAGTCAGGAGGTCAAGCTGTGTAGTCGGTTTCTCAAGTCAACTGCCTGGGCTTCTTCCAAGTTGTACTTTTCTTCTTCATCCTTTCCTACTCAAGCTCTTTGTTTTGTTTTGTTTTTGAGATGGAGTCTCATTCTGACACTCGGGCTGGAGTGCAGTGGCATGATCTCAGCTGGCTGCCACCTCCACCTCCTGGGTTCAAGCAATTCTCCTGCCTCAGCCTCCCGAGTATCTGGGATTACAGGTGCCCGCCACCATGCCCAGCTAATTTTTGTGTGTTTAGTAAAGATGGGGTTTCACCATGTTGGCCAGGCTGGTCTCAAACTCCTGACCTCAAGTGATCCATCCGCCTCGGCCTCCCAAAGTGCTGGGATTACAGGTGTGAGCCACCGCGCCCAGCCCTAACGCTTTTTAATAAATTTTCACTCCTGCTCTGAAACTTGCCAAGCTTCTCCTTCTTCCTTATGCCCCTCAGTCAAATTCTTTCCTCTGAGGAGGCAAGAATTGAGGTTGCTGTAGATTCAAACGGGTTTGCCAGTGGTAACTCAGATACCTGCCACTGGTAACAGTTTTGCTGGACATACTTTGTTTTTCCTTTTTTTTTTTTTTTTTTTTTTTTTTTTTGGTTTTTTTTTTTTTTTTTTTTTTTTTTTTTGAGGTGGAGTTTTGCTCTTCTCACCCAGGCTGAAGTTCAATGGCGGGATCTCAGCTCACTGCAACCTCCGCCTCCCATGTTCAAGCAATTCTCCTGCCTTAGCCTCCCACGTAGCTGGGATTACAGGCATGCACCACTATATCCGGCTAATTTTGTATTTTTAGTAGAGATGGTGTTTCGCCATGTTGGCCAGGCTAGTCTGGAACTCCTGACCTCAGGTGATCCACCTGTCTTGGCCTCCCAAAGTGCTGGGATTACAGGAGTGAGCCACCATGCCCACCCCCTGCTGAACACGGTTCTAAGTGGACATTTATTTGCTGTCATCACTTTGAAGCTATTACTCCTGCCTCCTAGCTTCTGTCACAGTGGTTAAGAAGCCAGCTCACGTTCTATTGTCCTTGGTAGGCCATCTGTCCTTTCTCTCTGTGTGCTTTCACCATTTCTCTGCCGCTGGCATTCTGTGGTTTCAATAAAATGTGTAAAAGCCTGGATTTGTGTATTATGCTTAAGATGCTTTGTGTTTCCTGGTTCCGAGACTGTTTTTTCATCGCTTCTAGAAAATGTGCAGCCATTTCATGTTCAAAAACCACCACTTTCCCATTGCCTTTATTTTCTTCTTTTGGGACTCCAATATAAGATCTTCTCGTTCTCATTCTCTGTATCTCTTCATCTGTTTTCATGTTATCCGTCTTCTTACCTCTGCTGCATTCTCTCTGTGTGTAACCCCCAGCTTACTAATTCTCCTCTTTTGTTTTTTCTTTTTTTGTTAACACAAGGTCTGGCGCTGTCGCCCGGGCTGGAGTGCAGTGGTGCGGTCTCGGCTCGCTGCAAACTCTGGCTCCCAGGCTCAAACCATCCTCCCACCTCAGCCTCCTGAGCAGCTGGGACAACAGGTACATAGCACCATGCTGGGCTAATTCTCTATTCCACTGTTTACTGTTTGCTGAATTTTAGATTTTGAGTTTTTTTTTTTTTTTTTNTTTTTTTTAGTAGAGGCGAGGTCTTGCTCTGTCACTCAGGCTTGAGTGCAGTGGCGGGATTACAGCTCACTGCAGCCGCAAACATCTGAGCTCAAGCAATCCTCCCTCCTCAGTCTCCCAAGTGGCTGGAACTGCAGGTGTGCCCCACCATGCCTGGCTATTCTTTTTATGAGATGGGGGTCTTGCTATGTCACCTGCAGTGGTCTCAAACTCCTAGTCTTAAGCGATCCTCCCACCTCAGCCTCCTGAGTCACTAGGATTAAAGGCATGAGCCACCGCATCCAACTTGAGGTCATAGTTTTTATTTCTAGAAGTTCCGTTGGTTTTTCCCCAGATCTCTCTCGCTCTCTTCATTTCTGTTCATTTCTATGCTCATCTTTGTGACTGCACCTTGTGTTTCTTTAAACGTTTCATGTATGGCTATTCCGTCCCCCGGGTCCAAATCTGTTGCTTCCTTCTTTTCTGCCAACTCTCACTCATGGTGGCTTACTTTCTTGTGATTTAGTAAGTTTTGTACTGAAGCCCATACAAGTGTATTGCTCTCACTTTGGGCATCCTCCTGGCTTAACTGAGGGAAGCTTTCCTCCACGTGGAGTTTGCTTCTCTCTTGCCAGTAGCAGGGGGCACCCCAACCCAGGACCACCTCAGCCCCCTCAGAGAGTTTTATCTCAGAGGAGTTCAACTTCCCATCTTCCCCACCCCTAGCTCTTCCGAAGTTCACTATCATCAAATGGAAAAATTGCAGTGAGACTGGCTTTGGGAGCAGCCTCCCCTCCAG